TTTTATTTTTCAGCCTTAAGAAAGAAAGAAACAGTGAATTTGACATTAAACAATCAAGAAAGATGATACTGGATATTAATATAAAAAGGCGTCAAAATAAGGAGTAACCATAAAATACGGATAAAACGGATAAAAGACAAGTGATGCATTGGAACAAACGCGAAAAATTTTGAATGCGCGCTGAAGACATCAGGTATAAACATTTAACTTTGAAGTTGCTGAAGTGATTTTGGTATTCTCGATAACTTCGATCTGAAGGTAACACTGTTCCAAAAATAGATTTTACCTTATCACCACTACATCACCTGTACTGACTTTCGGACAAGGGATTAGGGAGTTCACACTATACATGATGTTAATCAGCGTATATTTACTTTGTTTACATGCAATATTTTAAGAAATTGTGTAGAATGCAAACAAGTTGGAAATGGAATTTAGTGTGAAAAGAAAAGGGACACAACTACACACTGTGACTTTTGAAAAGTTAAATTTAAACATATGTCACAATCTGCTCTGGCCTCTATATTTGTCAATAAAACGGTTTTTGTCATTCAGGCAGAAAAAAAGTTTGACTCTTTTTGATTGATGAGGCGAAGTTTACAAAAATGCACCAGTAATTCTAAATTGGCGATGATTTTAACAAACAAAATATTTTGTGTGAGACATATCCAAGGGAAATAAAAATACAAATGACTTTAAATTTATTGTCTATACCTAAACAGTGTACACAAATATGTTAAATCACTGACCTCACTATTGTCAATTAAGGTTAAATATACAAGCATGAAGTATACATTATTTGTGATAAAATAAATACTGGAATCAGCATTTTTTTTATTAGGTAAAATAGGAAAACGCAGAGTTTTGCGTATTCTAAAATTATTAAAGAATTAATTTAAGATATTTATAGTCATTAATCTTAAATACTCGTAGCACTTTGGTTGAATAGATTCATGACTTCTTCCAATCTGCGTATTTTACATGTAAACAAAATTTTGTACGGTATTTTCTGGACAGAAAGATACTTTTTCATTTTTAGTCCCAATTTTTTAAAATCATACCATATCATATCACCATTTCTAATTTGATAAACAGTGAAACCAATAACAAATTGCCAAGTCGCCGGCATTTTTCACAAATTGACCTGCAGGGAAAGTATTGCCCCGAAAGTTATTTCTTTTTCACCATATCATCTTTTTTTTCCTGATGGTTTTAAACCATCTCAATCATGCTTGACGCAAGTTAAACCCCAGGAACATCATTTCCATTGAGAGAAATGTGAATAAAAGTATTCGTAACCATTACATGTTGTGTAATCTACATGTAGATAACCAGTTTCCTTGTCCGAAAGTTATCGATATGTGGCTATTTTTAGAACAGGTCTCTTATCAGTGACGTATACGATGCTTATCTCAGATCGTTCCCTATTCATCATGTTCAACTAAAGTTGTTTTGTTTTTCTTTTTTTTCTAAAAAAAATCAAACTTTTTATTAGTATTTGATTCTGCTAAAATATAATTCCGGGAAATGTATATATAATATGTCTTATCAGTGCTTTGAGTTTTTGTGTAATATAATATTGCGCAATATTATAATATTTGATAAGTATGAATTTCTGAGACATATTGTGCCATAAACTTCTGTTTGGTCATAATCTTTGGTATTAAATACTTAAAGGCACGTCATGCCTCAAAAATGTTGTGCTGTTAGTTTTATTTATGTTTGGTATCTTGTTACCGTTTCATAAAAAATAGTACTCACTCATTGTGATACACAATTTTGATACTAGCTTTTAAAATCCAATATCTTTCTTTCATAAACATATTTTCTTTATATGTTTGATATGTTTCAATGTTCAAATTGATTTTTGTTTTTGTTTCTGATTTTCGATATCATTTAGGAAATTAGATATGAGATCAGAATTCTCCATAAATAATTTATTTGTTATTTCTATTACATTCGATGAATGTTCAGTAATACCAACTTTGTCTTTTTTGTGTTTGTTTCAGTAACAATGCATGCAATTTTATGGAAAAAAAAATAGAAAATGAAATTTTAATCTCTTTCTATGCTATGCATAAATTTTATTGCAAGTTAAATGATTTCTTTTTTTCTTTGAAAAAAAATTAAACACAGAAAAACACACAAACAACATGAAAAACGATCTATGAAAACATATCATTGAACATACGTTTGAATATATCTAGGACTAAAATTGTATATATAAACAAAGCAACCTGGTTTAAAACGGCCGAGCATTTTTAAGATACTTTTGTTGTTAGATAAAATTAATAGTTTAGTTTCATTTTCAGTTATGTATCCGTTTTTGTTATTTAATTTTAACTTGTGTTACATAATAGTTATCATAAAGTTAGAAATGTATATCTTATTATATCATTTTTAAAACGCATTTATTCTTTTTAATGAAATACCTGAAGATAGTGTAGAACTTCTCACAATTTGTGTAATAAATCAACTTAACGTTTAACTTTCATTATTTCAGCGTAATGCGTAATGAATGGACTATTAGTGCTAGCATTTCTTAGGTCAGTGTATTTATTGACTTCTAGCGAAAATGATTAATGTGAAATCGACTGTCAGTAAAATGGACATTATTTTACAGCTAAGAGATTGTATGATTAGCCTAGAATGAAAGCTTATTAGTTTAGCAACCTCTTTGAGTAAAGATATTTTAGAACATTTAATAATCACTTTTGGAACATACAGTTATCTGTTTAATGTCTGCATAATCTTGAATATTATTTCAAAATTATTAACTGTTGAAGATGTGTAATATTACCATAAAATCGTTTGAAATAAAACGTTGGTTGAGTGAGATCTGTCTTCTTTCTGAACCGGGTTATATAATTATGATATTTACTCATCATTAAAACAATAGATTTTCATGACACAAAAATCACACCATCTCATATATTATTAATAATGATATACCGCATTTTTATTACATTTTAAACATTTGATGTTTTTGTCACATTTCAATTCACTTTCAATTCATCACTAACATAATTTATCTTATTTTATCTTTATTAATTCATTTTATTTATTTATTTATTATTAATTTATTTATGCATTTATATTTATTCATTTATTTATTTACTAGTATTCATATTGTTATTTATGTATTTACTTATATTTACTTATTTATTCATCCCTTTATTTATTTATTTGTTTATTTATGAATAATTAAAAAAAGTAAAAATCTTCCTATCATTAAATTCTTTATTAACTGCTTTACATGTGTTTTACGAGTAAATTACCTGTTCATTTTGTTAAAAGTTAGAAAGAAAAGGAGCTTATCTTTCAGATATTTGTCACTTCAAATAATTTTTGATGCCCATACTGTATAAATGGATAATTTGGAAACACATCCCGGTAAATATAACAATTATATTGTTAGAGCGCAATATGTTTTCTGATATTTATTTTAAGACTTCTAAGCATAGTTAATGTAGTAAAATGAGAAATATAGTATAACACTATACCATTATACTAAAAATAACTGACTGAGTTTTTCTCATTTTAATATCATAATTATTATCATTATTATTATTATTATTATTATTATTTGTTTATTTTTGTTATCATTATCATTTTGTTTATCTAAATAGATATTATATTTTTGCGCTAGTATTTTTTTTTCTAAAAAAGGTGATAATTGATGATTTTTATAATAATTAAACTTAAGGTAAATGGATAAGTATTTTATATAAATAGATAGCTGATTGACAATAATATGTTACTAGTAGCTTAAAAAAATATAATATCAATATCAGTTTTAGATAGCTTTTAACTATTTTCCTCTTACTTTTGTTGTTTACTTACTACATATTTTCATTGTAACAATATGATGTATGATGGAATATGTTAAATAAAGTAACGAATTGTCACAAAAATAAAACAAATGTTTGAGTTATATTATTACTCTCCATTTTGTTGTTGATTATATTCTCTTCAATAAAACAGGGGTAAACCATATATCATGCAACATTTTCATCTCAATAAATAATAATCAAAGGCAAAGATCATACTAACGTATGAGGAATGCGATGAAAAATGTATCATGTATATTCATTAATTGAACAGTATTAGTCCATATGCCCGCACTATACTAATTACGGAGAATGAACTGCATTAACGACAGTATTACTTATCCTTTTAAAAGTATAAGAAATACATTCTTCTATGTATACGTATATGTGTTCATCAAATAACTCCGAACAACGATATCCAACATTATCCTTCGAAAAAAAGATAAAGGGATCTGCAAACGGACAGGTACGATGCGTTTGAGGTTTAAAAGATAGGGGAATTATTCCCCTAAGTCTGCCAACACACTCCATCTTTCTTTCTGCATGTAAATTTGTTGCTGAAAAAGTGCATTTAGGTAGACCCCCGGAAAAAGGACATCTGGAATTTCCTTTTTTATTCTGGAACGCATTAGATATAAAATCATTTTTAACTTCTATTAAAGCTTGCTGGGTAAAGAGATTGATTTCAAATGAAAGCAATGGACACTAAGAAGCCTTTTTTGAGAATATATTAAAACCATTTGGTGGTAAATTTATTTTTAAATGTAATCTTAGTTCTCATGATGTTTCAAGAATCTGTAAAACAAATACATTTCTAAGAGATATTTTAATTTCATGGTTTTCTGTAGTAAAATCCTCTAATATAAATGGAAATGACATTAGAATACATATTAAATGGAACAATACGAGATAAAAATACAACAAAATACAATTTACTGGAAAAAATGGCATGAAAAAGGCATAAATTATATAGACCAACTCTTTGATTTTCGTTCAAAAGCCTTTATAATTTGAAATAGCAAAACAAATCCTTTTACTAAATATTAGCTTTGTCAAATATTATTATGAATGTATTTTTTTCAACTATCTTTTAATAGGGACATAACAGATCTTTATCTTTTATCTCTCGTTTTTTCTTCTCCCATTCTTTATTTATCGTTCCTTTCTTTAAACACTTTCTTTTCTCTCTTTCATACTTATGATGCATCAGATTTTCTTAGCACTCATTTTCTTCTTTCAAAAACTTTTATAAAAAGATCTTAAGATACTAATATACTTGTCATAATTTGATAACATTGATTTGACATTATTTTTATGTATTCAATTACATGTACTATGATTTGAATGTTTGTATATTTTGATTGAAAAATAAAAGAGATAAAAAAAAATTATTCTTTTGACAATATCGTTTTATTGAAAATTAATATTGAAAGTAGTCACAGGTCGCCGCTGTTGTACACATTTACACATTATTGTAGAGGCTCGATAGGCAAAAAATATTCAAGATTTTATCTTGAGTTTATAACAAAAACAGCCCAATTTTAAAATATATCAAGCTTCTTTGGCCTTTTTAGGCGTTGAACCAGAAAATATGTATTGGGCTATCTATCTGTCATTTATAATCAGTTAAGATAGGAAAACATCTACTCAGTGGTTTGGAAGAAAGTATTTTAGATTACGATATTAAACGTGTGACGAATAACGCTTTGGGCGACGGAAAATAGACTTTTTAAATCTGAGCATATATGTGCTGAAGTGAATTTTAATTATCAACACATACCTGTGCTTGGGTATTTGAAGATGTCGCCGCTAAAACGTTTTAGTTGGTTTGTTTCTTCATTGAATAAAACATTCAAGGACTGAGTAGAATCTCTGCGCGGAGAAGGTTCTTGTGGGGTCCTCTGATCATTTATTGGTCCGTTTCCGGCATATTGTTCCACAGGTTCTTTCATAAAAACAAAATTAAACACGATTCATGTATTTAAGGGAAACATGTATTGCATGTTATGAATAACAAAATACTCTTAAGTTTAGTAATTGTATATTTCTTAAGATAAATTTTCTGTTGTTGAAAGGATTTAGCTCCCCTGATCAAACCCATTTTACAGCTTTTGCGTGGGACTAGGTAAAAATAATTCATATTATATTGTGGCAAAATATATTCAATATTTTTTTTAAAAGAAAACCAAACTTAAAGATGTTATACAAAGCTATGGCGAACAATGGACAAGAAACATAAATGGTCAAACAAATAGATTCATTTAAGCTTGTATAAGGACATTCCTTTTTATTTGGCTAACCTGTCTATTTTGAGCTTGCACTTACCACTTCCGTCTATGAACAAATTCGGTCAAACTGGGTCTGCATCTTATCACATTTTTCCCTTTTGGAGTTTGTTTTTAAAAGTTTTAATTTTGTTTATTTTATAGAAAATAACATACTAAAATTTATTTATATAGTTACATGAAGAATAAAATGTAATCCAGAAAGGTAATTACTTGGTACATGTTTTTGATCACAAAATACCTACATATAGATATAAATTTATTTCTGGGTTCGAAATTTGCTTGATTTTACAAAAGTATTTTGTTCTTAATAATTGCGATACACAGTACATTATAATAAGTTTTGTATTACTCAAAGACTGTACAAACAAGAGAACATTATGTGGGTAAAAAACATTGAACTCAGTACAGAAATTGATTTGTAACTATGTCGGCGTAAGTATTTCATGATTCTCATATATCTCTATGATAAAGACAAGACGTAAATGATAATAATGTAGGAATGTGCGGGCAGCTAAGTTTGTAAGGGGCACGATCAACTTTTTGCACAAGGTAAAGGTATCTTCATGATTTTAAAACCTACCGTAATCATCCTGTTCATCTTCATCTACAACTACTGTTTGTCTTGTATCATTGCTCTGACGAGGTAACTCAAAACCACCACGAGGTTTTAATTCACGTGGCGATACTACAAATGTTAAAATATAGATTCTTTTTAATGTTTTAAAAATAATTCTGAATAATATAGGGATATGCAGTTATCCATCATCCAACAAATTAATATTTTTTGTTTCTTTAATCACCATATACACCAAACTAAACTAATAAACCCTCACTACATATTTTGAACACTATGTGAAGCAGAACACTAGTGAATAATTACATGTGAAATTGGTTAATCTATATCCAATAAATTATGATAAAGTTTGTTATTTTACAAGAAAAGTTAATACAAAAAGAAATGGATCAAATAAAGCACTTTATGTGCTGAATTTGTTCGGGTTACAAGAAAGCAATATTTTTGTTATCTTATTAAGTTCTTTTACCTTAACCATTTATCCAGGTATTTTGTTACCAACAATTATTTTTATATTTGGCAAAATCATCTTAACAACTCTAAGTATGTTACTAGGAAACAAAATATCTTTGGGTTGTCTCATTATTTTGTTAGATATAGGGCTATACATGGATGTAACAATTATACCGATAGGCTTTTTGAATATACTTAGTCACAAGATAATCGGGGTCAGCGATCAGCCTAGCCGCACGATTTCCAACAAACCACATTTTTTTGTACCTGAGAATGTATGTACTGCTAAAATACGACTCTTAGTTCAAGCTTTGCATTTATCTATTTTGTATAATAATTGGCCAACGTGTTTTGATGCGCCGTACCTCACTTAGTCTTGTACCACATGTTATATGTGGATGTGTGTAGTTGCGACCAGTTATGATCTCATTATTTGTTTACTTTATAAAATAAGTTTGCCGATCTTTGTTAATATATATACAGGTCTTAAAATTCATGAGATTGACTAAAATGAGTAACTTGGTACGATTATGATGATAAAGGATAGGAGAAGAGTGGTTTTTGATTTCAGTTTTTATGATATTTTGATGAATTGGATTGTTAAATGATGATGATGATGACAATAATGTTGATGAAAATGATGTTAAGATGATGATGCTGCTGCTGTTGATGATGATGATGATGCAGAAAAGTAATAACTTGGTACATGTTTTTGATCACAAAATACCTGCAATTTCAATAATTGATTCTTAAATATGAAAAGAAGTATTACAAGTAGTGTCATTGACCATTATTAAACCTTCTTTAATGTATTGCAAACTATTAGACGATAATTAACCATCCTCCATGAATAAATGAAATTTTTCCCTCAAAAATATCCTTAAAACACATATTTACTTCCTGTTTATTTTCATGTTTTATCAATCTAAATTGTAATAAACACGTGTTAAAACTATTTGGCCAACATGGTTGTCAAAAATTAGGTATATAAAATTGTTTGATAAAATATCTGACATATAGATATAAACTAATTTCTGGGTTCGAAATTTGCTTGATTTTACAAAAGTATTTTGTTCTTAATAATTTTGGTACACAGTACTGTACATAATAAATAAGTTTTGTATTACTCAAAGACAGTACAAACCAGAAAATATTATGTGGGTAACAAACATTGAACTCAGTACAAAAATAGATTTGAAACTATGTTGGCGTAAGTATTATATCTCTATCATAAAGGCGTAAATGATAATAATGTAGGAATGTGCGGGCAGCTAAGTTTGTAATGTGCACGGTTAAATTTTTTGCACAAAGTAAAAGTGTCTTAATGATTTTAAGACCTACCATAACCATCCTGTTCATCTTTATCTGCAACTTCTGCTTGTCTTGTATCAATGCTCTGACGAGGTAACACAAAAACACCACGAGGTTTTAATTCACGTGGCGATACTACAAATGTTGTAATATAGATATATTGTAAGAAATTTTCTAAATGATATGGGGATATGCAGTTATCCATCATCCAACAAATTAATATTTTTGTGTCTTTTATCACCATATACAGCAAACTAAACTAATAAACCCTCACTACATATTTAGAACATTTTGGTTAAACTTTGTAAAGCAGAACTAGTGAATAATTACATGTGAAATTGCTTTATCTATATCCAATAAATTATGATAAAGTTTGTTATTTTGCAAGAAAAGTTAATACAAAAAGAAATGGATCAACTAAAGCACTTAATGTGCTGAATTTGTTCGGGTTACAAGAAAGCAATATTTTTGTTATCTTATTTAGTTCTTTTACCTAAACCATTTATCCAGTAATTTTGTAACCAACAATTATTTTTATAGTTGGCAAAAGAATCCTAACAACTCTAAGTATGTAACTTAGAAACAAAATATCTTTGGGTTGTCTCATTATTTTGTTAGATATAGGGCTATACATGGAATGTAACAATAATACCGATAGGCCACATATTCTAGGCATTTTAAATATACTTAGTCACAAGATAATCGGGGTCAGCGATCAGCCTAGCCTCACGATTTCCAACAAACCACATTTGTACCTGAGAATGTTTGTACTGCTAAAAAACGACTCTAACTATAAGCTTTGCATTTGTCTATTTCGTATAATAATTGACCAACGTGTTTTGATGCGACATACCTCACTAAGTCTCTTGTACTACATGTTATATGTGGATGTGTGCAGTTACGACATATTATAACCTCATTATTTGCATATTTTATAAATTAAATTGTATGCCTGCTAATATATACAGACAGAAAACTGTCGGCTTTTATTTATTCGAGTAATAACTATATCAATTATATTCCAATACCTTTGGGAGACTTTGTCGCCATTACTAGCAAATCACCAAATTCTTTCTCTTCCTCCAAAAGCTGTCTCACCATGTGCCCTGCTTGAAACTCATACCTACCGAGATAATTTATAATATCGGATATATCATATCAATGTAGAGTATGTTAAGGTATAATTTATATTTCTCAATTGCATGATATGAAGATCCGCGTAAAGGGGCGTGAACGGTAACATGCACTTTCAGTGCCGTCAATGAACAGGCTCAATTAAACCGAGCCTGTAACATTTTCATTTTTCTTCTGTATAAGGTTTTCTTGAGGTATTTTATTTTACTATATTTTATCCGTCAATTTTTACTATTTCATGTATTTCCTTGAGACATGTGATAGTTTCTCCTATGTAAACAGTAATAAATACCAAATGTATTAAAACAAGATATGTTTGTAAAACATGTATGCCCCCTATCTGCAGCCAATTAGTCATGTGATAAGGTTATTATGCATGACTTCTGACTCAGTGATCAAACAATTAATAAGGGTTATCAAGTATCTACTGGTCATGACCTTAACCTTTGACCCCTTGACCAAAAACTCAATAGGGGTCATCTGCTGGTCACGACCAATCATCATACAAAGTTTGAAGTTCCTAGGCCTAAGCGTTTTTAGTTAATTGATCGGAAACCGTTTTTACCTACAAGGTCAATGTGACCTTGACCTTTGACCCCTTGACCCAAAATCAATAGGTCATCTGCTGGTCATGACCAATCACCATACCAAGTTTGAAGTTCCTAGGCCTAAGGGTTCTTTAGTTATTGATCGGAAACCGTTTTAACATACAAGGTCAATTTTACCTTGACCTTTGACCCCAAAATCAATAGGGGTCATCTACTGGTCATGACCAATCACCATACCAAGTTTGAAGTTCCTAGGCCTAAGGGTTCTTTAGTTATCACTCGGAAACCATTTGGTCTACGGACCGACGGACCGACGGACCGACAGACCGACGGACCGACGGACCGACAAGTGCAAAGCAATATACCCCCTTTTCTTCGAAATGGGGGCATAATAATAACATTATATACATATCATGATTCAAATCCATATCATGGTGAGAGTGTTTACTGGGTCGAAATTAATTGTAACTTTCAATGACCTTTTCTCTTCGGGGAGTCGTCGACGAATCTTAAGAAAATGTTAGATGATAGATTGTTATATATAAAAATATTTTATATATGTTAGATTTACGAACTTTTCAAGTATATATCAAATTCTTAAGCATCATGTAAAATGCTTCTAAAACCAACATGACAAATAAAAGAACATGCCGTATAAGTACTTATTTCTGCGGGCTTAATATTCTGCGATTTTTGTTAAAATAAGGGGTTTTAAATTTCTGCGTATCTTATTTCTGCGGTGTTATCTTTCTCGCATTGATGTTTTTTACTTCTGCGGTTTAATTTAGATCTTTTAAAAAAAATTAACCGATACAAACAGACAACATTTCAAGATGTGTTGATGTAACATGTACATTACTTCCGGTTATCATGCAGGCGACTTATAATGTGTGTTCACCGTAATCACTATGTATCGGTATATAAACGTTAATAAACAAAGATTAACAAAGATTGCAATGACAATACTTAATTGTTATACTGCATGTGTATAAATATGTAGTGTGAAAAATAAACAATGGTAAAATCGCACATAGACACAAGATATTGTACAAATACAAAAGGGTATGTTTATTGCACGCGTCAAACTATAATAGTTTTATTTTACAAAAAAGATCAAGCTTAGGGCAATGTAGGGTGAGCGACAATCATACAAAAATGATATTTATTTAAACAAAAAGAACAAGTAAAGTAACCTTTTTTAATATTTTATTCATGACGGACACATAAGAAAACTTCCCATCTACAAAACCGAAAATGGTACATGGTAATGTAATTATACAATACCGGTAGTTGACATATTCCGACATAGACATAGTGAAAGACTTAATTTTCTGCGGTTTTTAAATCTGCGGTGTCCTTAAGAACCGCAGAAATAGCAGAAATAAAGTTCCCGCAGAAAAAAGTACTTATACGGTATAACCTCAAACTATGGCGTTCGGTAATGACAATTGTTTTTTTTTTAATTGATAACACATATTTGATTGGCATGATCATTTGATTCAACCTAATCCTTTTAATAAGGAAGCATAAATTAACCATTATGTTCATAAGTGTAAAAGTATGAAAATTATATTTAAATTGGTATAGAGCTTTACATTTTTAAGCTCTGTATCAGAGTTGGGATTTTGAGGCAAGTTACGTTACGTAAGATATACCTGTATATAAAAGTAAGTTATCAACGTTTTATAGAGTCAGATATAATAGTTTATGAGTTTGAATATAGAGGTTTCTAAGTATATCGCATATATTTACCTTTCAACAAAATTTGACTTTTCAATTTCTTTTAGCTCAATGTCAATTTGCCGTAAATTATCTTGTGATTTTTTCATAGCTATAAACAATGCCACGCTTTGTCCACTCTTTTGTTTTGCATCGATTTCCTGGTGAATCTCTGCGGTTTTATTCTTATTCTTACACAATTGCTTATTCACACTATGTAATCTTTTCTTTGATTGTTCGTACTTAAGATTATTACTCTCATATAATTTCTTGTGATGTTTTTCAATCTGATCAATCAAGTCCTGTTTATGCTTCTTAATCAAAGATTCTGCTTCTTTTTTCAATTGATCCGTTATTGAAGTTAGTTTGTTATTCTCTGCCAATGTTTCATTTCCACGTGTGAAAACTGTATTAAGTTTGTCTTTATACTCTAAAAACTCCTTAGTTTCAGCGCAGTCAATAGAAGCTTCTTCGATTGTTAGTATCATCGTATGATCGCCACTTTTATGCTCTGTAGCTTGGCAAATTACACAGACCAGTTTGTCACAATCCACACAAAACATTTCTATAGCATGCTTAGGATGTTTGTCACAAAATGCAGAAAATACATCCTTTTTTACTTTTCTGCCTTTCTTTCCCATCTTTATTTAACAAAAGTCACGATATATTGAAAAATTATCTATGAAATAAATAACCAACAATTAGTTTCTTTTTTTTTTCTTAAGGCTTTAACTATTGTTTTAATCCACTGTTAACTAAAAGTTAAGTAAATATTTTGATATCTCACTTACAAATAACTACTCCCCGTTTAACGTACAAATGATATTCTTCTACAGACTCGTATAAAACATATGCATGTCACCGTTTATAAATCAAATAGTTAAACAGTAAGTGGATAAAATTTCGGTTATGCAAGAAGGAAGTAACAATCATTTTACCTTAAATATAATATGACAAAAAGATATTTCTATATGTTTTTGATGAAATGATATATCTAAATGTAAACGTTTTATATTTAATGCTAACCGGTTCAATACTGCTTTTCAAGAAACGAAACACAGTAATTCACTTAAGTAATAATGCTAGGTCAAACCTTAAGTTCCTCTGAGTGTTGATTTTCATGATTCTGTATATCTTAAGAATTACGAGGGACGGTCAGAAAATATATCCGGACTTTTCATGCTCCTCTCTTTCCACGTGCAGCTATATACACACATTATATATTGGTTAAGATTTTCTGATAAATGTGTATCACGTTCAACCTTCTACAACTGGGTTTCCCAGTTTTGTGAATGCAGAACAAGTGTTCGTGACTGGGCGGCCAGCTGAGGCGGTGACCCCGACAATGGTAGCAAATGTTAAAGCTTTTGTCAACAAAAGTCGTCGAGTAACTTTGGAGGAGGTAGCCAACAAGTTTAGCATCGGTAAGGTATCGGCACACAAGATTTTACACGAACACCTAGGCATGAGCAAGGTAAGTACCAGGTGGGTGCATAGACAGCCGTCCGCAGATCAAAAGGCAACCAGAGTAACCAATGCAAAAGAACATTTAAGTCGTTTTAATCGTGAAAGAGATGCGTTATTGAACCGTATAATCACTGGAGGTGAGATGTGGGTTCATTATTCCGAACCTGAGACAAAAGCTCAGTCAAAGCAGTGGAAACGAGCTGGTTCTCCACCTCCTAAAAAGTTTAAGCTGTCTCCTTCGGCTGGCAAAGTCATGCTTGTTGCCTTTTGGGATTCAATAGGAATGATACTTACTGATTTCATGCCAAAAGGTCAAACTGTCACCGCCTAGTACTATTCTGAAGTAATTCTGAAAAATCTCAGAGAAAAGCTGAAGCAAATGCGTCCCAGGTTAGCACAGAAAAAATGTCCTCCTTCTTCACGATAACGCCCCCTCCCATACCGCCGCAGCTACAGTGGAGGTTATCAACTCTTACAAATGGCAGTTGTTGTCTCGCCCTCCTTATAGCCCAGACCTCGCCCCTGTGACTTTTATTTGTTTCCAGAACTGAAAAAATTGCATACTGGAAAGAAATATAAGACCAGGACGGCTTTGATATCTGCTGTTACACAGTACCTAAAACATAGGTCGACGTCATGGTTAACAGCGGGAATACAAAAACTCCCACGAAGATAGCCAAAGTGCGTAGACGTAGGTGGAGAATATTTTGAAAAAGAGTAGAAAGATTTCTTTTAAAATGTTGAATGGTTTTCGAGAACGAGTCAAAAGTCCGGATATTTTCTGACTTCCCCTCGTATATAGAGCTTATTTGTGTCCTTACATTTTTTTCCTAACGTTACATTTTTAAGTTCAAATATAACTTCACTAAAATTGTTAAAAAGTGCACCAGAATGATGACTATAAATTAGAAATTTTGTTTTCGCATCGTCCGCCGTTTTACGTCTGTCGTCTCCTTACCATGCCTCTGTTTTCCGCACTTTGATGAAAACAGTTGATCACATATCAAATTATGATTTCTTCCTAGTTCTCACTATGATTTATGAAACATTCATTCAAAAGGAATGCCCAGTTGCCGTTGTTTTGTTATACACGGCAAAAATAAGGAGCCATTTAATTTGATCGTTTGACAATTTACAAATATGCTACTCAACATTTGCTAAGCACCATAATTTTAATATTATCACAAGTATAAAACGGATTTCTTTTCAATGTTTTAAAAGTTTCCTTCAGTAATGTTTTGAAAGATCCCCCTTACATGAATCCGTGATGACTAATTCGCGACAACTCGTCTAGGTATCATTAAAAGCATGCATCCAGTATTTTCATATTTTTGATGGGGTGTATTGTTTGGTTTTATTAACCTGTCAATTACATACTGATTACACGGTCGATGCACACGGTATATTAATCTTCGGTAGATGTTCGGTAAGTTCCGTGAGATGTACGCTGTACGATGGAATTTAATTTAATTTGTATCTCTTAACTAAGTGTACTCAGCGTTATAGCGCAATAGGGTAAATCACGAGTTTATAATCTAAGTGCCCTACGTGTTTTAAGTTCGAGGCCGCGTTGGTCCATGTTTTTTTCTTATTAGATCTAATACTTTCAACATTATTGAATCTATATATGATTATTTTATGTTGTTCGTTTTGTTTGATTATGTTTTACTAAATTTTGTTATGTATATACTCTTTTTAAATAACATGTTTTTTAAAAATTCATGTTTAAAATTAAAACGGATTTAAATCAATATATGTCTTTTCAATGCCGTACAACACACTACAAATCTGTTCCATTAAAATATACTGCAAAAATAAAGAAAGAGTACTAAATCAAAGGCAATAGTAAGGATCGAACCACAGACCTCTCAATTATCAGGTATTCTCTTTACCGACTGTCCTATTGTGAATTAACGAAAACCTTCACATTTAGCTGGCGTGACTTTCAATCCATGACTAATATCCTCCACATTAATTCTCGTAAACTACACGGACCAAACCGAAGTGGGCTCGAATATTTAAATGAGTCCTATAATGTATTCATAATTGACAGGTCAATAAAATCAGACTATACAATCTCATGTCTTTTGTTTTAAGGCGACATTACCGGCTTATTGTCATTCGGTGGTCTAACATTTCTTACATCTGTAGCTTCGATTAATCAAATGCTAACATTGGGCGGCATATGAGAGGGCTGTAGGGATGGTGCAGCGGGGAGGTGGGCAACCTTCCGCCAGGTTGGTGCGGCGCTTGGTGTACACCACACAATCATCAACATTTCCGGGAAGAGATGCCGGCTACATGGTACACCCGCCAGGATGCATGCTGCAGGTCGGCAAGTGTCACAACACCAGCTCAGGATCGATTTTTGGTCGTACTACGGGCAAGTCGTGCAAGATTTTCGATAGCAAATTGTCTTCGAAATGACATTGCTAGTGCTGCAGGGGCCGTGTTTCCACAAAGACGGTACGTAGAAGAAGGCTGCATGAAGGCAATTTTCGGTCCGGAAGACTTTGCATATGTATCCCCCTGACGCATCGACATCTCAAGACCCGTTTGAAATGGACCATGGAGCATGCACAGTCGACCTTGCAACAGTCCAGATTCTGCCTAGGCTTCACAGAAAGGCCTGTTATAGTCTTGAAAAGACGAGATGAACGGTTTCAGACTGCAAATATTGCTGAGCATGACCGCTACGATAGTGGGTCAGTTATGGTATGGGAAGGCATCAGCTGGAATAAATGAACCGACCTGGTTGTGCTGAAAAGAGGTATATTGACAGGTCAACGATACAAAGACGGCATCTTAGACAACCAGGTTAGGTTATATGCTGGAGCAAGCGGCGATCATTTCATTATAATGGACAATAATGCTCGCTCTAATAGGGCCTGGGTGGGTGAGTCTATTGAGCGCATGGACTGGTCAGTTCGCTCACCTGACTGAAATCCAATAGAACACATGTGGAATGAGCTGTCGGCTAGAATTTCAGCTCGTCAGCTGCAACCCAGAACAATCCAGGAGCTTGGAGCCATGGTGGTCCAAGAATAGATCAGAAACTTAATAGGGAGTATGAGAAGGCGTTGCCAAGCTGACATTTATAGTCACGGGTCACACACACTGTATTACGCCTAAAACTTTAAGCAAAAAAAAAAACAATAAAACAATTAAAAAAAATTGAAAACAGGCTGCATGTTCTGAAATCTTCAAAGAGGTGGGCAATCCTCTTCTCTAGCACAAAGTCAGAGAAAAACTCATTAATAGGATGAAATTTGTCCTTCAGTTTAATTGATGTAACAGTAAATCAAAATGTCAAACCTTTTGCACGGCGTTAATAAAATTATCCCAAAAAATATTCACACACAAACATATGGTTCTTTAATTGTTTGGTTAAAAAGTTGAGATTTTTAATCTTTCATGTTTGAATTCGAAATAAATAAATGTCACCACCTCAAAATTAAATATTTTGTCTTAATCTAATATAATTGATTTTCTATTTAAATTTGTATTCTGAAGTAATAGTTAATCCGATAGGTCTCGATTCGAAACGAAAATACATGTACGCCATCAATCACATCCAATTTGGCATTGTACCAAAAACAAAAGAGTACGGGATCGTACACATATTAGTGACAGAAAACCAACATGGGTGTCTATGTTGCTACAAAACTTGAAAATAGGGTAATCCCTCAGAAGCATTAATCCAAACAAAATTACATGACAATTACAGACACGCCCTGATTGAGTCTGTTCATCATGAGAAATAATGAAGTGCAACATCCCTCAATCCCCTTGCACCGCCTTGAGCGGTACAAGCGGAACTCAAGTGTCAACACTTAAAGTGCTGAATTCAATGTTCCCTAAAGACTGCAACATGCGTGCAATTTGTATTCACTTAATTCAAACATGTTTTACTTTAAGAAGGACTCCGGTAGGGAAACATTGCTACAATATTTACTTCCACTGTGTCAAACTGAAAAGTTAAAAGGAATATAAAGTAGTTTGCAAAAGTAAATTAACAAAAGGAAAGAGACCCAAATTCAAAGAACATGAGTGGTAAGATCGTTCATGTGGATTAAAAATTGTAACCTTTGTGTATTGTTTTTGTTGTTATTATTAAATTGAAGTTATACATTTATTATTTGAATTCAGTCATTCTCTATCTCAAATTTTATCAATATTATAGTTGGTAGAACACAAACTACGAAACCTAAAGCGTAAAGATGATTTCAAACTATCAGGACTCTTTCGTATGTTAAGAAATTTCATTCTACAATTTTGTATCAGTATTTCATACGGAGAGAGTTCAATATATTTGTACACTAATGTCCTCGTTTTTTTGTGTTTTTTTTTCTTCTTCGTTTC